GAGCAGGCTCACGGGTTAGGAGTCCCAGTAACACGCAGGATGACGAATGCTCTGGGTTCTTCATCTCTTCTCAAGTGCGAAGACCTCAGTCATGAGCAACAGGCTTTTTCTTTGAAATAACCTTGTTCTGTCAACATGGATCCCTTGACGTCCTAAAATCAGTGACACAGGGTTGGACCCAAAGCCACCAGCTCAGAAAACCTTAGCAGAAATCTTCCTCTGGCACAAACCCACGTGCATTTGCACTTGCACACAAACAACCCACACACACGTGCAACTCGGGCTGGAAATCAGCAGAGTGCCATGCAAGCACACACAGGACAAGTGTGAACAGATGTGCCCTGGCCTGCCTGGCAGACTGACCACAGCCACCCCTAAGTCAGGAGTCCCTGAGCTGGCTGAAACGGCACGACTCCCACTGGACTGAATCGCGGGAGCAGCCAGCCCCTGCCGCAGCCCCCCGCCCCCCCCCCCGCCCCCTCCCCCTGCCGCAGCCCCTGCCCCAGCCCCAGGAGACGCTTCTGCTTACCTTGTTTTCCTGCCCTGCAACTGCCTGTGGCAAGCTTGTGGCTGGGGCGGCCCCTTCCTGCCAGTCCCGTGGGGCCAGCTTGTGGCTGGGGCGACACTTGCCTGCATGTCCCGCACAGACATGTGCACACGCCAGCAGGTCTGGCTCTGCTGCTTTCTCTTTTGCTTTTGGTCAGAGCCAGTACACGCCATCACCTCCTTATCTGTCATCGGCCCCTCCGCCGCACCGTGGGGGAGCCCCGGCCGCCCCCAATCATACGCACGAGTGCCAGCGAGCTGTCACTTGTGCTTCGAGCCCAGAAGCTGCCTGAGACTTGGGGAGGATCCCGCGTCTGGAGGGACCCTGAAGAGGGGCGAGCTGAGCAGTGAACCCACCAAGCCGTTCCCCAGCCCCTCGCATGGGAACTGTTGGAAATACGATGCTGTGGCACCTGCTGCTGTTGGTGGCCGTACTTCCCCTGAGAGGTGAGTGTTTCTGCGGCAGCGATGCCCAGGCGATAGCAAGGGCTTCCCTTCCCACGAGCCCACACGCCTTGGCCAGGGCCACAAAAGGGGCTTTCCAGGGATGAGGTCGGTCTAACGAACCGGCACCAGACGGCACCTGGCTCTGGGCGTCTGGGAGCAGGAGCAGCGCCAGCGGAGAGGGCGGCAGGGCTCCGAGCAGGGCTGGCAAGTTCCCGTCCCTGTGGTTCCCCTGCCACGGGAGCCACTGGAGTGCGGCTCGCCCAGAGCACGGGGCAGCTCCTCTGGGGCAGTCTCCTGCGCTGGGCCACGGACATCGGCTGGCCTGAGTCTCCCAGGCCTGGTTCTGTGCCCAAATTCCCAAACCGGAGCCACTGAAGCTGGCTCCCTCCGGACTGACAGGTCTCCTACGCCGCAGCGTGAGCCCGGGTGGCCGCAGGACCGGTCAGGTGAGCTGCATTTCCCGGAGTGATGATTAGATGTCCCTGTTTCTCTCATTCTGAGTGCGGTGACTCAGCTCCATGCAACCCCTTCGCAGAAACTCCCCGGCGCCTCTGGCGCTCTAACTCCCGCTGCCCCGTTTGTTGGTGGCAGGAAGGGGCTGTAACCACAGCGGCCCATGCCCTAAATACCAGGCTGTGGCCGGACCCCAGAGACATCTCATTCAGAGTGCCCCAGTGACACCCACCGGCGCTGTAACACCAAGCCTTCCTCCTGCGCTGGGCTGGGCTGGGGAGGGACCCGATTCCTCGCACCTGTCTCCTGTGAGGTACGAGGCTGCCATTTCCGTGGGACGAGGGCAGAGGTCAGGGCTACACATGAGCCTCCCCCCTGCAAAGGCAGCCTGCTGTCAGGGGCCCTGGCACTGCTTGTGGCTTTAGCTGCCACGTGGCTTCAGCCTCGCTGCCGGGAAGGCGCTGGGCACTGGAGTGGAGGCGTCCCAGCCAGGAGCACCGGGATGAGTCACTGGGGTGTGGAGGCCCTGCCAGGCACGGCAGCACCTTCAACCACATGAGCTTCCTCTTGGGGCTGAGACCTCAGCGGGACTCTGAGGATTGAAACAGTGTCAGCAAGAAGCAGAAAGTCCACTTGTTCTTGTCTCTCAAGCCAGCGTGAGCACGCCCACACACATGCACACAGATGCGTGCACGCATAAGATGCTGCACACCTCTTCCCAAGCACGAGAGCACTCTCCCTCCTACCCACCTTCTCCCTTGCACCCCCACAGCACACAAACACAGTCTCTTGTGCACACTTATGCACTAGCACATGTCTCGCTGGCCCTGAGGGCTCATCACCTTTCAACTGGCAGCAGCCCAGTGGGTGACCTACATCTCTAAGGCTTGAAAACCCCAACACAGGCAAAGCCTGGAGGCAGATCTGAGCGCACAGCAGAGCTGTGGCTGGCCCAGGCCACAACCTGCGTCCTGTGAGCAGAGGAAGAAAGGGGAAAGGCGCTGTGAGCGCTCCTCTCACGCTGGCTTAACCTCTCGGGTGCCAGGCCGCATACACGGAGGCTGCCCAGTTCACTCTTCACATGCCAGCTCTGGGTGCAGAAGCAATGGGACCATGTCAGGCCCCTGGCCCAGGTACAGCCTCAGGCCAACAGTGAGCAGAGCCAGCTTGGGTGCCCTGTGCTATCAGCTCTCCCCCCAGTTTCCAGGCATCTCAGAGCTCTGTGCTCTGTGCTGCACCCAGGGAGGAAAAATGTCCCGCACACCTACCGCCTAGGACATGACCTGCTCGGTAGCACAGAAGCGGAAAGGGATCCTGGAGTCCTAGTGGACTCCAAGATGAACATGAGTCGGCAGTGTGACGAAGCCATCAGAAAAGCTAATGGCACTTTATCGTGCATCAGCAGATACATGACGAACAGGTCCAAGGAGGTGATACTTCCCCTCTATCGGGCGCTGGTCAGACCGCAGTTGGAGTACTGCGTGCAATTCTGGGCGCCGCACTTCAAGAGGGATGCGGATAACCTGGAGAGGGCCCAGAGAAGGGCCACTCGTATGGTTAAGGGCCTGCAGACAAAGCCCTACGAGGAGAGACTAAGGA